GCCGAGGGTGCGGATACACTCATATGCCACTAGCGCTACGGCGAAAGGTGAATGTACGCGTGCGGTAGTTGCGAACCAGCACACACCTGCCACAGCAACTTGGGCACAATTCGTCACAAAGCTATGTGATCACGGTGTTAGAACAGAACAAAGGGAGTCTGGGGGGGGCTTCTTAACCTCGTATGCAGCAGAACGAGGAGCTCTCCCTCAGCTTGCGAGGACATGGTGGACAGAACCCTTCGGGGAGGTGTTCGGCATATATATATACCACCCGTCCTCTGGGAAGCAGTGATAGCTGACCACCCATCGACCCACTGATTAATTGTTGGAAAAGAACGATGATAGTGGGACCCAGGCGACAACTATAGCATCGCGTTGCCACCCATAGCACATATAAGTACACCCCTTCAGTACCGGAGAGCGCAGGCCAGAAGACATAGAGGTGAGGAATCGTGACCACACTTATAAGTCCTCGACCAGCGCAGTACTTCCGCACTGAGCTCAGACGGCGGTCGCTGCAAGGTTACGTCGAACAAGGGACACCCAAGACACCCATGATCAATGGATTGACGCACGTCATGAGGGCATCACAAACACAGCAAGGAAGCTCGTACCGAATGGAAGAGTACTTGCCATATAGATTTCCGTCGAATTTCGCAGCCTGTGGAAGAGTGTTCACGGGGCACTGAGGTGTGGCGAATGCTGACTCAAGATACCCGACTATGAGCACGGAGTTTCTGCGGCGCAATTGAGTCAGTTGAACACGTTACATTCCACTGCACGGCGACCGGCAAAGGAGTGATCTATGAAGAAAAGCTCTATCATGACTTCGACTGGGAATAGGCGACGTACACTCTTTAAACCCGAATCCTGGACTGCACTTACGGGGTTCTTCGTACGCAAGCTGAACCGCTGGGACTGACCAATTGTCACCTGCCAGCGTTCGTAAAGGCCTTTCAAAAGAAAATAACTTCGTACCGAGTTGTAGACCAGACATTGACTTGGCGTTGAAGACCGTCCAAGGTCGGCAGGTAGGTTCGTAAACGCGTGCACAGGTGGAGATCGTCCGGCCCTTGTCTGACCTTCACGTCGAGCGATCCGCATCCTCTGCCGGCTGAACTCGGCCACAAACTATCGGTCCAGCTCGCCCTCGACATTCGTCGACATGGCGCGGGAAGAATCCTGATGGGACCCAGAGATACCAAGACCGATACGCTCCGCCTGTACGCACATTTTACTCGAGGTCTATGGAACTAACTGCCAGTGTAAGAACAGTGGCACGGACATGAGTAGTATATGTGTCAGGAGCAGGCCTAACTTACTCAGGTACAAGATCCAGACTGAGAGAGCGCTGCTGCCAGCTGGCAGTACCCAACGACGCGTGGTATGAACGTCCGACTCGGAGTCTCCAGTGCCTGCGAAATGACACTACATATCATCGAGAAGTCGCAGTCTTCTTTCCTCTCCGCTAGTTCAAGAACGCGAGATAGGGCATGCGTGTTTCTCGCTATGAAAGGAGCAAAGGCGCAGGGCAGTCACGCCGGTTGGACTGCAGACGCGGTCACGGACTCACGGTGATGTTGCGTTATGACGTAAGCATGTGGCGGTGGCTGCTGGCAGTCCACTGGCGCGATAATGACTGTCCCGCCTCATGCTCTCATGCGTCCTCAGGATATTCATTTGTTTCATTGCGGCACTCCTGTATCTTGTAACAAAAGCGTCACGGAATCGCTTGAAATCGTCTTTGAGATACCTTCGCAATAAGTACTTATCTCGAGGACCAAGACCAAATCAAGGCGTACTAATCCATTCAAGTCGATATACAGTGCGCTAGGCTGTGCTGGGGACGATGGACCATCTAATTATCTGTCAATATATCAACTCCCGGTGCGCCACCTTTGGAGTGACTCTTTCTGTGTATGCGCTGAACGTTGAACGCTCACAGGAGCTGTGATGTGTTCAACGATGTCCTTGGCCGACGTTGTCCCCATCGGCGGGTCCCATGTAAGTATATGGTCAGGACTCTCCTTTCTTTGGACCACCATTTTCTACGCATACCGGGCCGCATGCTGAGTATGTTAGCAATTAGCATATACTTGCGCCTCGACCAGCCGAGCCTACAGACGACATCGGGCGGACTGTTTGCCGCGTCGCCGCGCCAGAGCGCGCCGGGCTTGCTACGTCAGCGCAAGGGGCCGGCGCGTGCGCAACGCGCCGGCTGGACCCCCCGTGGAAATGCGATCGGGGAAGGCTCGGACTACCCTAACACGGACAGCAGCCCCGTAATCGCATTATCTTCTTACTATCTTCTGTCGATCTTCTGCACAACTTCAGCGCATTCGCCGCATTCTGTCAATAATCGCGTCCGTACTGCCACCATATTTCACTCTAGTATGTAGACAGAGTTATGAGAATCTCAAAATGGACACAATCTAATCATTGCGGCAGAGCAGTATATATCTGTGATGACATTCTCGAAGTCCATGTTTTACTGTACGTGCACTGCTGCACATTTGGCTGACCCACTACTTACAAGGTAAGTATGTACATTATGAACCGCGTAGAAGATTGCCCCTGCCCTTCATCGATTCATCAAAGAGGTCTTCGGGGTCTGCCTAGGCTAGGGGAGACGATGGGTGTAACTTGGCGGTGATAGTACTGTGTCCTGAATAGGTAGCCCGAACCTCCCCCGATCTCATTCCCACGGGGGGAGTGGGCCGGCGCGCGCGCAGCGCGCCGGCCCCTTGCGTCAGCGCATGTCGCGACTCGGATCCATTTGTCTTTGGACGCATCCTATGCTCATGTAGTGCCCTATTCAGACGCGGCATCTGGTGATATCTGTGGTATAAGTTTGGTACGTGACCCACCTAGCTTCACATTGTTTTATCAACAGTTAATGAACATTCGTTGCGTAGTTCACTTCAGCTGGGTGGCGAAGATTCCGACATATGCGCATCCTCATCTGGCTTCATCGACTCGGTCCACGATCGCAGCTGGTTCTCCGATGTTGCATTGGTTGCGTGCCATCACTATCTCTCGTGGCATCTCCATCAATGTACACGCTGTCACAGCTGTGTACATATTGCTTTGTCCTAACTTAGTAGTGTCCTAGCCCCCCCTGAGCACAGTAGGCCAGCGCTTTGCTGATTCCGAGTCAGCATGATCACGGTGCTGGAGTGGACCGCAGTCTCATTCAGTAATAGTAAGCTTCTGTCGTCGAGATTGGCTTAATGGGACGCATATATAACGACATCGAACGGGGGGGCATTCGACATCGCAACGACAGCTCACCCACTCTATCATGTCTGACCAGAAAGCCCTTTATCTCACCGAGAAGCACGGTGCCTTCGTCCTCGGCACTGCACCGATGTACAAGCCCGGCCCAGGCGAGATTCTGATCAGAATCGAGTCCACGGGGTTGAACCCCGCCGACTGGGCCATCCAGACTTATGGAATGCTCATCGAGAAGTACCCCGCGATCCTTGGTATCGACATCGCGGGTACTGTCGAGGAGTTGGGAGAGGGTGTCACGCGCTACAAGAAGGGCGACAGAATGTAGGTCATACTTTCCTGCGGGCGAGCTGCATGCTGACGTCGTGGAGCAGACTTACGAAGGGGACCATCGGCAAGTACGAACGTACCGCTTTTCAGCAATACGCGCTCGGATATGAGGATACGTCCGCAAAGGTTTGAACACCACTTCCCTTCGCAACCTCGACGTATATTGACGGGTTCCGTAGATACCTGAGGGCATATCGTTTGACCAGGCCGCTACCATCCCACTCGGTCTCTGTACCGCAGCTGTCGCGCTGTACCACGACGGTGTCAACGTCATTGGCGGTACATGCGGGCTGACTCCTGCCTGGGAAGATGAGGGGCGCGGAAAGTACGAAGGCCGGCCCGTCGTCGTCCTCTCTGGCGCGGGCTCTGTCGGGCAAGCGGGTGAGCCCTCTGGAGTCCGCCTATGTAGAGAAAAGTACTGATCGTCTAATAGCCATTCAGTTGCTCAAGCTCTCCGGCTTCAACCCGCTCATCACGACAGCGTCTCTCAGCAACGCCGAGTATCTCAAGCAGCTGGGTGCGACCCACGTCCTCGATAGGAAGCTCCCCTCGGAGGAGCTTTACAAGGAGATCAGGAAGATCGCGTCGAAGCCGCTCACGACCGTCTTCGACGCCGCCGGATTTCCCGAGACGCAGAACCTCGGATACGACCTCCTCGCATCCGGCGGCACGATGGCCGCGGTCAGGCCCGACGCCGTCCACCCGGATAAGAAGGTCGACGACAAGAAGTCGTTCTTCATGTATGCGGACGTGACCCTGCCGCAGAACCGCAAGCTAGGTGCGAGCCTGTTCGGGAAGCTGACGGAGCTGCTGGAGACCGGGGATCTCAAGGTTTGTGTTGCAGTTCGATATGCGTCGGTGGAAGCTGACGGGTGTCTGTGTAGCCGAATCATGTCGAAGTGGCTCCCGGCGGCCTTGAAGGGATCATTCCTGCGCTCGAGAAGCTGAAGAATGGAGTGAGCTGTGTGAAGCTCGTCGCGCACCCGCAGGAAAGCATGTGAAGTGATGCGGTGCGTCCTCGACTCAGTGTCTGCGAAAGACCTGGGTCGCGGCATTGTGTCCAGTGGAGTATCCAGTATTCTCGATGTGATGATCCAAGTACTCCCAGATTTACCATTGAATATTGACTGGCTGAATGATGTGATGCATCCTCGTCGCTTCATGGAGGGGTTGTCCTTATGCTCTAAGATTCGGACTGAATATTGATTGATTTCACCGATCTGTGCCTACGAGTCGCGAACGTGGAGGCTACTAGACTAGCATAGCTGCCGTCAGTGGATGCTCTTCCACTGTCGCATTCAAGCGACTATGCATAGAGGAAGACGCACTGAACGTGACTTGTGCTTTGTTGGTACGAGCGACACAACCGCAATTGCAGAATAAGTATGGGCATTTCCTGCGTAGTCTTAGCATCGGCTATCCTCTGGTTAGTATAGTACTTGAGGCTGACGGCTCGAAGCGATATCTCAAAGATTCGATCAGAAGTCAAGGGAATATATCCAGATGTGCGGCCATGAGCGGTGGCGCATCTACTACTGTACAAATTGTATCCAAGATCCTCGTACTAAATCAAGCCGCTCAGGCATCGATATCCTTGACGCGCTTGAACTGCTTCAAGAACCTGGCGTATTGGTCACAGGCGTGCTTGTACGTGTGGCCTTAGCATCAGAGCAATGGGGTTCAGATTCTGCATTACTCACTTGCTCGAGACTTTCTCGCAGTACTTTGCACCATACACCATTGAGCCGTTTGAGAATCCCAACCGGAGTTTTTTCTGTATGCCGAAACATTAGCCTGTGGTGAGTATCTTTGTGTTGATAGCAACACATACTCCGTGCAGGCTCTCAATCATTTCTTGCAGTTCACCGACGGCACTGGTGCCCTTGACGTTGTATTTACCCTGCAGGACACGCCCGCTCAGTATAATCGCGAACACATGAGTGACGAATGAATGCGCCCTACAGCAGCAGTGATGGAGAACCTGGCTGGGGCTGATCTGTCGGAGACAGGTGCCGTAGTGTCAGTGTAGTTGCCGGTAGCCGCCTGCAAGTAATACTGCATCAGAGTGTAGACTTGTGAGAGGAGAGTTTGAACGCACCATTGAGAAATTCAGGACGTACTGAGACGGTGGTGATGAACGAGAGGCAAGACTGGGGGAGAACATCGTGAACGCACGCTTTATATACCGCAATCCGGCGCTCTAGGAGCTCTGAACCACTGTGAGGAGCCGGAGTCAACACGTCCCAAAGCGAGTATGAGCAGAAGCATTGCCTGTGCTAACCAAAACGATACACATCATTCTTCACCATCCTACTACACGCCTGTAGTGCTTCTTGCGCCCACAGTTCCCGGGCGGTGATCTACAACAGGGCTCTGGGGCTAGTACCGTTTGAGTGGGAATGATTCATGATTGAGGTTGAGAAGCCGCTAAGGGAGGAAGCTTCTGTTGTGGTCACTGTGACGCTGTCGCCAGCAAGTGGAGACGACTGCGCCGTATGCAATACTTTTTATTTCATCAGATGCACCTTCCGTATTCAATAACTGAGCCGAGAAGTGGCTTGACCTACAAAAAAAGACTACTGTATCTATATGAAGGTACATTTCGAGCTTCAGGATTCAAGGATCGGAGGCGTCAACAGCAACGGAGGGATCAAAAGAGCGTTGGGAGGGATACTATGAACGATTGCAGCTAGTTTATCACGAGCATCTACTGCAGACAATCTCAGAGAGACATCCGATTCGAGCATCTGTTCAAGGATGGTATCGATCTCAGGAATAGTTGCCTAAGTGATGGTCAATCAACCGTGTTCAGACTGACTGTGAGTGACGCACCCGGAAATCAGAAAAGCTCTCCGCCAACTGCCATATATCTGCCTTGAACGGGTCGTATGGCTTCCCACAAGTCATCTCCGGCGGAACTGGGCGTGTATAGCCGACCAATGGCAGTCCACTCAGCAAGCGCTGTTCAGGCGGAAGGTCCGAAGGGAACTCGTGGGCCGTCTCAAAATCGGTCAGGAGAGCGCGCGGGCGAGACAGAGGCACCCGCATTGCCACCAGAGACTCGGGATGCCATTGGATGAGGTAGTTCGCTTTGCACAGGTCCTGAGTCGCTGTCAGGAGAACGAACACGCGGATAGAGTGAGCGCCATACTCTGTGAGCTATCCCGAGGTCATGAACAAAAGCAATTGCCTATGATGTTATGTGAGCGGGACCGAGCAAGCTATGCATCGGATCTACGGATTCACCTCCAATGCTTGCAGGATCATATCAACTATGTCGCCGACGGAGTTTTTCGCCCAGAATCCGTAGCATTCACGCATGCTATAGGATACGAATGGCGAAACGGTAAAAGTGATGTCCTCGAATTCGACTTCTTGCCACAAGGGGACAACGTGATTCTCGGCGAACATGCTCCGTGGGCCCTGAGCGAGTTTGCGCAGGATCTCGAGGTGGCGCTTCCTTCGTCACCCATTGCCACTACACGTATGACAACATGCACCCCATTCAAGGTCGAGCCGGCGCGCGTAAGCTCGTTCTATAGCCAGATGATACAAGTAGAGCTGATCGCGCAACAGACCCACATGACAAGTAATAACTGAAGAACTTTTGTCCAATGTTCTCCACGCATTGATGTGACATACGCAAAACCATTGGATCGTATTGGTTTCCGAGCGTCAGCTCTTGCGTGGAGCCCGTCGAACGGCCACACGTAAATGCCGGCGTCATGGAAAGTGGGTCGGACGGCCTCCCAAACATACTGCCATTCTTCCTTAGTTCGAGCGAGCGCCACGACATCAAGTCGCGAGGCAGCTGTGAACCAAGCAAGTTCATCAATCACCGCCATTGTCTATTTCGTATGTAGCTCACTGTCTCGCGTACACTACCGTTGCCTTGCATATGTTGTCCTCTGCTAACTTGTTCGTGACTGTGAGGGTGGCTGTCACAGTGGCGACACATGAAATCTTACCTCTACACGAGTACAAGATGTAAAAGTCAGGAGCTAATAATTCCCGTCAACAGCTGTATGCGTCAAGGAGAGATGGGTCGTCGGTTGAAGGTAAGGTGGACTGGAAGAAGTCCGACTCGAACACTGTAACAATAAGCGCCGCCTCAAGGCGTGCACCACGTGACCGCGTCTCGCGTTGAGCGGCCTCGATCGTCCAGGCTTCCATGTACAAAAAGACCGATATCTTCACAGATGAGTCTACGGCCGCGCAGCATGATACAGCATGATGTGAGCCGCGTGTAGCACTTTAGCAGGCATCGTGTTGATGTTCCATTCTGCCGGCCAATACCCGCAGGTACCGGTAAGTTGCATAAGTTCCACTCCTTCTCGCGCACCCAATAAGTACCTCAGTAGATCTCAATCGGACTACCAGTCTTGTCGTCTTCTAGATTGCTGGACTCGGAGTGGCGTCACGCTCAGTGCGGCCGACGAACTCGAACCTCAGAATCTGCTCAGAATGACTCTTCGATTCGCCAAGCTTGGCTATATAACTGACCGAATCAGACCTAGAATGCCATAGTGCGGTGAGGCAGGTGCGTAACCACTAAGCCATACCCCTCGGTCACTGTCGCCGATGAGTATTGACAACATATTAGGACGTAGACGTCCATAATAACGCGTTGTGCAGGAGGACATTTTCACATACTGCCGCACCTATGCCCCAGCATATCAAGCGAATTTATACTGTGAGTCATTGGGGGTCGCCACGTCTCTGAGAGCTGGCTCTACGAGAAATATGCGGCCTGATGAGTGGTGTGTGCAATGATTCTTGTCTTGATGGTGCACGTATTTGATCCGGGACCACGACTGAGTTTGCCTGAAGAAAGTGGTCTGGAGTTGTACTCCGAAAAACGCGCCGCTCAGGTGATTCTGTTTTCTGTGGCGTCGTAGAAGACATTTAGCTTCCTTGCTGTATATGCCGGGCACCGCCCCGTGGAGCAGATCCTATGCAAGTCGTCGTGCCTCTCAGGGTCTTCAAAAAGAGCGAATTGACTCAGACCTCCAATTCCACTTCTCTGTCCAAGTATCCCCAGGTGGTCGAGGTATGTTCCACGCGGCACAATATCCCAGTTATCGGGAAGCAAGCGTGTCCGCGAAGTATGGAGATGGCTACCGATGACGATCTAAATGCATAGTTTTTGGGCACGGATGATTCGCTTGTAAAGAGGCGTCACTGTGGCACCAGGGATACGGGTAAGTGTCCTATCGCCACGAGGGCCGCCTCCTCTCCCGAACAGACCGCGCTGACTATAGTATGCTTCGCGGGACTAGACGTCGTGTACGAATCAGTGTGGGCGCGGTGCACACTTCACCAATCTCCGAAAGGAGCGTAAGGTGTATCATCGATGGGTTCTGTCACCGAGGTCCGGGCTCTCGACCATCGGGTGCGTACTACAACATATTTAGTGGCTTATGGCACAGCAGGCAGTCCTTGCCGACCACCGTCGATTTGCGAAGAATCTAGGACCAAGCGACACAGAATTCGCCCGATGCGACACGTGAATGTTCTCTACATGGATTGTGCTTTACCATAATTCCTTGTGTCCTCAGTTCTATCGGCGTCACTGCATGAATCAGCCGGAAACTCATCCATAAATATCGGACACTGCACTTGATTAGTGTGTTATCAACGGCCCGCTCTCTGGAACCACGAGCCACCATGTGGCGCCAGAGAGCTTGCAAGTTGATGCAGCGAACGCTACTCCGTCGAACGACACTCACTCCTCTACGATCGGACGATCTTGATTCTCGGGTGCGTGCGGTCAATCACGGGCTGGCAACGCGTGGCGGCTTGCTGAGAGCTTCTCTGAATTCAAGGTGAGTCATGGTTTGACCACTTCATCACTCCCTCGCAATCTGAACGCTCCACAGTAAATAATACATGTGTATCTGGACTGAGGCCGAGGAATGTTGATGGGGATAGTACACGCCGCGACATTCTCCGTTACAGCGGTATTCCTTCTTCTGCCAAGGCGCGTGGAAAATGGGAATTCCTGACATACTGTCGGAATATGCAGCGCGCCACGAGGATTTATTAGCAATACATCCCTAGTAATACAGCTCTGCGGAGCGCGAGCGTAGCCAGCTCGCTGCCATACTCCGGTTCCTGAAGCTAGCTTCCGAAGCATTCCCATGGCTGGGTCCTATGTAGGATCCGAACCTCAGGGCCATTGGTATATTGCGTGCGCGTGTCAAGCCATCGTCAACTGCAGTCGACCTCCACATCCGCCGACGAAGCCTGAGCAACGTGGCGCTGAAGTGTATTATGGCCCCTGACCTCGGTCTAGACCATGTTGATACTTTTTGTGAATGCCAACTGCTGCGGTTAGACGATACATGTTAGATAGTACTATCGATGTCTCCATAAACCGCACCAGATCTAGGTTTGCAATTGCTTGCCGCGATCGCTCCAACAACTCGGCTCCAGCAACTCAGACGTAGCACGAGAGAAGACTTCCAGAACACGGAACAGCTACCGCAACGTCGCGTGTGATCCACCATAGAATAGGCACCGGGATCTCGAGGTCAACCTTCGCTGACTACAGAGTACGAGTACCGAAGAACAATATTATGACTCACCTCGAGAGTTAGAGCGTCCCGGAAGCTTGCTGAGCATCTACTCCGAATGGATGATGTGATGTCCCGGTTGCAATCAAGGGCGGTACGGGGAATGCAGCGAGACTCGTGGATAGAAGACATGAGGAGCAGAGAATGGGTCGCCACCTCGAGTTCTGTAAGGAATACACTCTGCGAGCGGTGCTCAGATGCATGGCGCCCAAATATGACAAACCCTGGCATGCACCCTCTATTCGGAGAGTTGTGTGTTTTATGAAACAGTGGCGCCAGTTAGAAGAGACGGAATAGGGGGCGAAGAGAGTGAGGCGTATAGGGTAATGACATGCCAGTGTGGCGCATGAAACGTGTATTCACGACATGGCATCAGCGAAAGCCGAGTACGCTAACGGCGTACACAGGATAGCGGATACATCGCCTGACTCGTGTTGTACGTGTGAAATGGGTCAGCCGAACCAATTCTAGAGGCTGCGATCTGGGTACTCACTATGTACTAGTGTGTCCGCGAAGCTTTCGGCGCCCAGACGTCTAGCATCGCATCCATACTGTGACAGCTCAAGAAGGCGGTCTTAGAGGAGGAGTATATCTGATCAATCGGGTTCCATCCGCATTATACATCGATGATTGTTCGGCTTACTTGGTCTAATTGAGCCAGTAGCGTTAGCATAACCTCCATGCAGGACATAACCAGTGTCGCCACCTACTCGGACTGTGCTTCTCGCCTCGCAAAGCGGGGCATGGCCAATGACAAAGCGAGGCTGAGTGGGAGAACCGTGAGTGTGTTAAACAGGGCATCTACCCAGATCCCATAGTCACCTCTGTCGGAAGCCGGTTCCATGATCATAGCTCCAAAACCGAGTCATTCCATACCTAAAAGTATTGATACAATTGATCGTCGCTGAGCTATGTGGACGTGTCAAGAAGCTAGAGTCAACATGTCGCGTCAGCTCAGGCTCTGCGCCGACCATCTGGGTTGATGCATGAGTATCGGTATTCTCACCAGAGTCAGTGTTACATACAGTGAGCTAGACTTGATATGGCATTTCAAGCCTCAAGACAACTGAGAGACAGGCAGCGAAACTTGTTCTAGTCCGGCAGAAGTCCGAAGTTCAGGATTGACAGCGGCGGCGTGAGCCTATCAACCCAGTTCACCACTTCAACGCGCGATGGCGAGGGAGGTTCGAGTGACAGAATTGTACCGAGGTAAATGCCCTTGCATTTCATCGAGTGGAGGAGTACACGTACTGGTAGAGACGCTACTTCCCCGACTCCGACCGGAGGGAGAGAGGAGGGCTTTGTCGACCATAAGTCGTTCGCAGCCGGCGATGCCGCTCCCTCCGTGGAAAACACGTGACCTATAATTCCCATAAGCGGTATCGCAGCAATGCTCGAGTGTCTTACGAGGCGGCTCGAGGCAGTTGGATCCTTCCGTGCATCTGGCAGTGTCTGGACGCCTGGATCTTTTACCATCAAATAACTCCTCCCAGAGGCAGGAGGGCCTCTGTGATGTTGGGAGCCCTCGCATGCACTGTAGTACTTATGTATCACGGTAAGTAAGTTCGCCGTGTGGCTCAGACTCGTGGAAGCCCGAGACGCCCGGGCGGCGAAGCCGCCGCGGGCGTGAGGGCTTCCAATTGAGTCTCCATACCATTCCGATGGTACAATATTACAATACACACATAATATACTATGGTGCCGCTGTGGCAGGCTGAGTAGTTGTGTGCCATGCAGGAGTCGGGGATCGGCGCTTGCGCCGCTACGATAGACGCTACTGACAACTTGCAATTGGTACTGTACTAGCACGTGACATACTTACATGGTAGACGGGCGTTTCGCGGCAACTCTGCGCAGCGGCATAGCGATTCCGGACCACCACCATTATTTCTGGCGTTATCACCATGTTCGTCGTGCGTCACGCATTCCTCTGGGTTCGAGTCCTGCCCTCCTTATCGCGGACACAAGGCTGAGGTCGTTATTTGCGATCCATGTCCCCTCCAACACTCGCAGTCGTCGCCGCAGGCGCAATGGGCGCCGCGGTCGCGCGAAGGCTCACGACCGCAGGCTGCACGGTGCTCACCAACCTCGAAGGGCGCTCGCAGGCCACCCGCGAACGCGCGGCCTCAGCAGGCATGCTCGACGTCCCCATGCCAGAACTCGCCGCGCGTTCGCAGTGGGTCCTCAGCATCCTCCCGCCGAGCGACGCGCTCGCGTTCGCGGCGCGCTACAAGGACGTCGCACCCGCGCAGTCGAAGTTTCGACTGGCCTTCGCGGACTGCAACGCGGTGAGCCCGGAGACGGTGAAGAAGATCGCGGCACTGTTTGATGGGAGTGGGATTGGCTTTGTCGACGCTGGGATCATCGGCGGGCCGCCGAAGGAGGGGTACGACCCTGTGTTCTATGCGTCGGCCGCCCCGGAGGATAGCACCCTGCTTGACGAGTTTGCTGGATTATCCCAGTATGGTCTGAAGGTCTCCCCGCTGAGAGGTGAGGGAGCTGGTGTGGGTGATGCGAGCGCGCTGAAGATGTCCTACGCGGTAAGAGGTCATCACCGTTATCATATACGTGCAACGCCCATCATACGTGCCAGGGCATCTCCAAGGGCATCATAGGCCTCACCACAACCATGATTCTCGGTGTGTAGAAGCAGCCTCGCACCCCCGTTCCTCATGCTGAACGACGGTTAGCTGCACATGCGTCGTCGCCCGCGACCGCCCAAGCGCTGGTCCACGAGCTGCACTCGTCACAGCCACAAGTCCTGCAGCGGATCACGACCAGTGTTCCCGCGATGCTCCCAAAAGCGTACCGCTGGGTCGGCGAGATGGAGGAGATCTCCTCCTTCGTCGGTGACGGCGAAGGTCAGATTCACCAAGGCCTCGCGCGACTGTACGAGCGAGTCGAGCGCTCGTTGAAAGAGGAGAAGGAGGGCGGGCCAGCGGAAGATGTCAAAGTCCTGAGGAGCTTCGTGGACGATGCGAAAGCGGTCATTGGTGGACAGAAGTGATGCGCGACTATTCCTACCTCTTTCATCGTCGTAGTCGTTCTGTTGATGTTGTGAGTCTACAGCGCGAGAGTTCAGCCATCATGCGCTTTCAGTCATTATGCATGTCCTCGCCGTCCCAGAGGAAAGGATGGTTTGTGATACTATGATGGAACATTGCAGGGCTATGTCTGTGGGTTAGACACTAGAAGATCTTGTCAGACACTGGACGTGCCATCGAATCTCGGTCGGATATCGCAGTCGATCCATTCGAGGCACAAGGGCCGTTTCGTCTCATGACCGTGATTGTGCCCCATCTGACCATGCGATGCTGACGTTCACAGGATGACAACCGATCGACACGCGCTTTCGCCGTCTCGATTGCGTACTACACTCGGCGTACACTCGGCGAGGCCCCGTATTACCCAGCCAATGTCAAGCTTCAAAGCTTCAAGCTTTCAACTTCAAGAGCTTCAAGCTCGAGCCGTGCAGACACGTCTGCCCCGCTCGCGACTCCGTGCGGTACGATCGGTCAGTATATGGAGCTGACATCGGGCGGACACTCCCCGCTCCGTTGATGGCAATGCATAACTATGTTCATGTAGTCTTCGTAGCAGACCATAAAAGCCGACAAGCGTCTATATGTTCATGAATCATATCCCGGTTGATGATTATTAACATGCCATGGCTCGGAGTATATAACTCTTGCATCGCAGAATCCACAAGTTCTCCATCAAATCACAAGGTTCCATAACAAACACTTCTCCTCGACGCCATGTCCGAACACCGAGCACTCTATCTTCCCGAGAAACAAGCTCCCTTCGTCGTCAGGTCTGTACCTACGTACAAGCCTGGCCCGGGAGAGCTCCTGATCAAGGTCGAGGCCGCGGGGCTGGCGCCGGCTGACTGGGCAATCCAAGCTTTGGGGATCCTCGTCGAGAAGTATCCAGCGATTATCGGCTTCGATGCTGCGGGTACCGTCGAGGAGGTCGGCGAGGGCGTCACGGAGTTCAAGAAAGGCGATAGAGTGTACGTACTACGACGTGCTTTCCCTTACACTACATGTAGACTAACAATCCCGTGGATCAATCGATCAACCCGCAGGTTCCAGCAATGCGCGTTCGGAGATGATCGGTGCGCTGGCTTCCAGCAGTACGCCCTGACGTCCGAGGACACGACTGCAAAGGTACCGGATAGTGCATCATCTACAAGGAGTGACTGACTGACCTGTTCTTAGATCCCCGACGACATCACCTTTGACCAAGCCGCCACGATCCCTCTCGCCCTGGCGACCTCCGCCGTGGCGCTATACCATGATGGAGTGAACGTAATCGGCGGTACGTGCGGCCTGACGCCTGCCTGGGAAGAAGGCGGCCGCGGCAAGTACCAAGGGCAGCCTACGGTCGTCTTCAGCGGCGCCAGCACCGTCGGACAATTGAGTAAGACAACCCTTAGGCCGTGCATATCACAAGCACAGCTGACCGCCGCTGCGTAGCCATCCAGCTGCTCAAGCTCTCCGGCTTCAGCCCTATAATAGCCACAGCCTCCCTCAGCAACGCCTCGTTCCTCAAGTCACTCGGCGCCACACACGTCCTCGACCGCAGGCTCTCCCCCGCCGCGCTCCAAGCGGAGATCCGGAAGATAACCCCGGAGCCGTTCAAGACCATCTTCGACGCCGCCGGCGCGGAAGAGACGCAGAACCTCGGCTACGACCTCCTCGCGCCGGGCGGGGTCCTTGCGTCGGTGCAGCACGACCTGGTGGCTCCGGAGAAGAAGGTGCCCGAGAAGACGAACTTCTTCATGTTCGGCGACGTGCATATCCCGCAGAACCGCAAGCTCGGCGCGAGCCTGTACTTGAAGCTGACGGAGCTACTCGCGGAGGGCGCGCTGAAGGTATGTGCTCGGTTTGTCCAGGCCGGCGACTCGGCGCTGACGAGGTGGTGTCTAGCCGGTGCCCGTTGAGGTCGTTCCCGGCGGCTTGGAGGGAATACCTGCAGGGGTGGAGAAGGTCGGAAAGGGCGTAAGTTGCGTAAAGCTCGTGGCTCATCCGCAAGAGAACGTATAGAGAGTGTATAGATATGTTGTACAGAACCCACGATTATGAGAAGTCCAGCTACCTGTATGAAGAATGTAAATTCACTGTGGCGTATCCCTGTGGCGTCTTGTTATAGGTGGTCGGCTATGGTCGATGTACGTCGGATGCAACGTGAGCGGCCTGATTCAGGAGGCACCAGCGTGTTCTCTTGTCCTTTCGGACACTGACGGTGACGGTACCGGGCGCTCGACTCAACCACTAAGTGCTACGGGTCGTGGTCCGTAGAAGTCTCGCGAATGCAATTCGCACAAACATCTCCTCAGATCTGACATACCTTTGTAGGCGACCACTTGTGGTTTCATCGCAGCAGCCACGGTTTGGGGAATTGGAATGGGGAGAATATATTCGCAAGCGCAGTCACGTTCAATGTCGTAAATGTTACAAAGCCTACTAAGCTCAAGTCATATCTAGAAAAATAGAGCCTCTGGACTGGGTTTCCTTCTGTGTGTGGCGCACTTACACCGGATGCGCGCTCACAGCTGTGCTGAAGTGCGTTGTTCAGCCGTCGGACGATGCACGGTAAGACCAAAGCACTCACTTTGCGCTAACCGGAGTACACTCCTTGTCCTTGTAAATGCCCTTCTGTTCGTCGCCAAATTGAAGCTTGAGCTTCCGCTGCAGAAATATGACAGGCTGGCGTCAATTCGCGGAGCGGTATTGTCGGCAAAGTACACACCCCGGTCCTACTTTCGATAGGCGTGACGAGCACACCCACACCAGTGGTCCCGTCGGACAGAGTGACTCTGTACTTGCCCTGCAGAGTGACATTGCCCTATGAGCCGCGCACAGATGATGTGACAAGTATCCTACCGCGATATTGGCGGTCGGTATGGCCCCGCTACCATCGCCGCCTAGGGGCTGCTGATAGCGGTTGGCGTTTCCGGAGTTGAACTGAAGGCAGCCCTCAGTCAGTAGCGCATACAGGTAAGAAGAGAGTAAAGATCGTACCATTGGTCGAGCTGATGGTACTGCTTGTGAGACAAGAGACACGGAGGAGAAACGATGTTGCATACGTGCGCTTTATACCTGTCTGCGGTATCGCGAGAAGGTTCGAGTCCAGAGCCCCACGACTGCGAGTCAGAGCATACCGGACTCAATACACTGCCAGGCTTCATACGGTGAGTGTTATTTGCGCCCCAGAAGCTTGAGAAGCCCGACGCCACACTTAGGAGCAGGTGCTAGTATCTGAGGTCGACGACTTCTTTTGAGTAGAGGACACAGCTTCTGGGCGGTGGTTCCACATACCATACGAAAACTAGTACAACTTAGGCACCCTCCGTCAGAATCCCAGTGGATGGCTGACGGAAAACATACCTATCGCCCAACAACCACGGTAACAGTGTCATCTGCGATGATGGACAAGCAAACTACCACAAGAGACGTCCTTCGTGATGTGATGCAATCATGCAACAAACCTGCTTCGGGGCCGAACATCAAACATGTGCCATTGGTGCAGCACCCACGACTCCTAGTTGATATGACCAAAGTACAATACAAACCAATGGAGATGTGCAAACTACGACGAATTCGACCATACGCCCGTAGAATCACAGGTTCGGCAAGGGCTTTAACAAGCGGGGCTGAATCAAAAGATCTATGGGCGGTATCCTGTGGGCAATCGCTGCCAGTTTGTCACGGGCCTCCGCCGCAGTCGGTCGCAGAGATACATCCAGTGAAAACATCTCCGCAAGGATTCCGTCGATATCGGAGACGGTGGTCTGATCCATGTTTGTCATCGTGCAAGCACGGAACACAAGCACCGAGTAACGCACCTTGAGGTCCGAGAAGCTTTCGGCAAGTTGCCATATGTCGGCTTTGAAGGGGTCGTATGGTTCTCCAGAAGTCATTTCGGGCGGGGCTGGACGTTGGTAATCCTCGACCGGGGACCCAGTCAACAAGCGGTCCCCAGAAGAGATTTCCGTAGGGAACTCGTGGGCCATCTCAAAGTCGGTCAGAAATGCGCGTGGACGGGAAAGGGGGACCTTCATAGTCGATAGAGACTCCGGATGCCACTGAACGACGTAATTTGATTTGCATAAGTCCTTTGCGTTTGTCAGAATATGGAAAATGAAAGAAGTGATACCATACCCTATGTACTATGCCAAGGCTATGGACGAAAGCAATCGCCTATGAGCACATCTTAGTGATTTCGGCCGAAACAAGAGAATAATGGCACCCACTTCGAGTGCTTGTACAATCATATCGACTATGTCCCCGACAGCGTTCTTCGGCCAACCGCCATAGCATTCATCCATACTGTGACCAATGTATGGCGATATCACAAATATTATGTCTTCAAGCCGTGCTTCACCCCAGAGAGGGACAACATGATTCTCCGTCAATAGACAGGTTGCGCCACGCGCGAGCTTGCGTAAGATGCCTAGGTGTTTTTCGCCTTCGTCCCCGATAACTGCGACTCGAATGACCACATTGAGTCCACCCAAAGTCGAGCCACCCCGAGTAAGCTCATTCTGTGAATCATTATTGAGTGCCAATTGGGCTCTTTGTGACGCGACTTACATGACAGTAGAGTTTTTGGATGTTGCTAGACCATGCCTCGCCGCGCGTCGGAGTAACATACGCAAACCCATTGGAGCGAATTATCTGGTGTGGGCTAGCTCTTGAGCTGGCTCCGTTGTATGACCACAAAATTACGCCGGCATCATAGAGAGTAGGTCGGACAGCCTCCCATACAGGGATGCTATCTTCAAGCAGACGCCATGTCTCTAGGTCGCGGGGCAGCTTGATACTAAACTTAGTAATACGAGCTTAATAGACATTGCGTTCAACATACAGTGTCCCGAGTACTTCGAATACGGTGTCCTTTACGACTCCGAGACAGGAAGAGTTGTAGAGTCACAGCTGCCGTGGCGAGGCCAGCAAGCGCGACTGTGGCGGAGCAAATTCTACTGCAAGATGGTATCATGCTCCGGGTATGTAAGTGATGCGTTGGCAGTAAATAGTTTTGAGGGTGTCAGGGCTCGAGAGGTATGCCGACTCTGACAAGAGTCAAGACCAAGCACTCGCCCCGCGACAACCGGCTGAAACGCCCAGAAGCGGTGGTTTGGATCACGTGATCGTGTTCATGAGAATCCCGAAAACGCCGCTTTCTAAGTTAATAGTAGACTACGAGAGGGGGCTCTTACTGGATTACCTTACGAGACAGCTTGGTGCAAATCGCGTGGACTCAATTGAGTAAGAGGAGGACTTAGGGCAATGATCAGCTAGGAGCTCGAGGCGCGCTCGGTCGCCGACTCGTTCATGCAGCAGCTAGCACGCTCACCGTGGGGCCCTGCAGTACTAGTGGGGAACGCGTGATGTTCAACAATTATCGGACAGCGGGTGAGCGGGAAAAACACATTCGTGTGTGCATAACATCACAGGTAATCGTGCATTCGTACATTCAATTGGTTACAGGACGCAGTGACTCAGGCTTCACGCAATGAATACTGCACAGTAGCCTCCTGCTGTGCCTCTGCGACAGCGGTTGTCTACTTTCACGCAGGAGCTGCGCCCAAAGGAGTGCTGAAAAGCATCGCTCAGCCGTAACATCACGTATTGGAGTATAGATGACGACCTACCCGTTAGACACCATCTCGCATTGAGCTGTATGATATGCCTTCGTCTGTTCATTAGCGAACTGCAGTACGAGCTTCGGCTACACATAGGAGCATCAATGTTATCGCAGCTGTTCATGACACTGATATTTTTGGAAAACACGTACTCCGGTCGCGCTCTCAATGCTGTTGACAAGCACACCGACACTTGAGACCCCAAAGTTGTGCGCCCTGTACTTGCCCTGGTAAAAACATTCTCAGCACGTACAGGAGCCGCGGAAAGCATGCATCTTACAGCGACTGTGGCGGACAGCGGAGTTCCTCTAGTGTTACCTCCCAGAGGAGCTGTATAGTCACGATATTGGCTGTTGGCCGGCTGAAGGCAGCGATCGGTAAGTAGCGATTTACAGGAAGGAATGTTAGTGAAGAACACACCATCTCAATAGCTACTGTGAACGCTAGTTGCGGTGATGGAGGAGAGAGGCTGATGGGGAGAAAGTATCCTCAGCGCGCACCTTTATGTGGTCTCGCGAGGGCCTTGAGACTACAACCTGACGTGAGTCGACGTGTACATGGCAAACGCCACTGAGAGAAATCGTGCGAGATCCGATATCAAACGAGGAGCAGAAGAAGCAGACGGAGGCGATTTGGTGACTGCTCGCGCCCACCGTACTTGGGCGGTGATTCCACGCATCTTAACAAGGAGACCAGTACAAATCGAGCGTAGGTGAGTCACTACGCACCATCAAGAGGTTCCTAGCACGGTACCAGTGCTGCCCCGGCGCCACAGCTAGTCAAATGAAGACGACAGCAAATTTCTTGACTGACGCTCGATACGAGCACAATGGTTCGGACCGAGACAAGTTCCTTCTAAGTCAATTTATAGCGATAATATACAAGACTTCGCATAGATGAACACATACAAAATCACCGTTCGAAGGGAGCTCGTTTTAACAGTACGGGGGAGATCAGGAGAGAGACCGGGGAAATGTTATGAACCACCGCAGCTAGTTTATCACGAGCTTCCACAGCAGACAGTCTCAGAGCGACGTTCGGTTCAAGCATCTGCTCAAGGACTGCATCGATGTCAGGGATCGTCGCCTAACAAATGTTATTCGATGCGCATAGTAGAGTATAGGGCACACGACATACCCTGAAATCCGCAAAACTCTCTGCAAGCTGCCACACATCAGCCTTGAATGGGTCGTACAACGCCCCACAAGCCATCTCTGGCGGTACGGGACGTCGGTAATCCTTGATAGGGAGACCGGATAACAGGCGTTGTTCCGAAGGGACGTCAGGGTGAAATTCGTAGGCCGTCTCGAAATCTGTGAGGAATACGCGCGGTCGGCTCAATGGCACCCGCATGGTCTTCAAGGATTCCGGATGCCATTGGACGACGTAGTTTGCTTTACACAGATCCTATGTCGTTGTGAGCCGGATGAACCCATGGACGAGACGAGCCGCATACTCTATGCACTATTCCGAGGTCGTGGACGAAAACAATCGCCTGGTACATAGGTTGAGTCTTACGCAGCAGTGACAATGTGTCATAATCTTGAACTCACCTCCAGTGCCTGTAGAATCATATCAATTATGTCCCCGACGGAGTTTTTTGCCCACTGTCCATAACACTCAGCCATGGAATGGGCTACGAATGGCGAGACGGTGAAGACAATGTCCTCGAATTGAACCTCTTTCCAAAGCGGCACAACGTGATTGTCCATGAACAGACTTTTCGTGCCACGCGCCAGCTTGCGCAAGATTTCTAGATGCCTCTTCCCTTCTTCTCCCATCGCTGCGACACGCACGACTGCATGTAGCCCATCCCCAGTTGTTCCACCACGCGTGAGCTCGTTCTGTCTCAAAACGCTCAGTCGAATGCGTATCAATGGCTCTTGAATCTTACGTGACAATAGAATTCTTGCAGGTTTCGCAGCCATGCCTCCCCACGCGTCGGCGTCAAATATGCAAATCCATTAGGACGTATGACGTGTTGTGGATCAGCTCTTGACGAGGAACCACCAGACGACCATAGGTAGATGCCAGCATCATGGAAAGCGGGTCGTACGGCCTCCCAGACGCGCTGAGCTTCTTCGACACTGTCGATCAAGCGCCATGTGTTTAGGTCGCGAGGTAACTGGAATTCAAACATTCAAGGCTGAGCTATTTTCTCGAACACCCCAGTAAACGTGTTTCAAAAACGTACAGTGGCGCGCACACTGTCCGTACTCTGGACGCCACGCTTCGCGCCATTCCGGAATAGGATGACTCGCACAGTCGCAGCTGCTGTGGCGAGGCCCGCCAATGCAATCGCAGGGGTCCATAGTCTGTCATACGATAGCGACATGTTCAGGTGTATGCACGAGGCGTGCTAAGAGCTGTATGAAAGCCTTGGAGTTGACGGTATGATAAGTGGGCCGACAAGTCGAGCGACGAACGTGTTGAACAGAGTGGTTTAGAGCGCCTACGTATACCACTCGTGAGAGCGTGGCCTATCATGTGATCGCGTCAGACCGCGACGCACGTAGCGCAAAGCGCAGCGGGGCTGACTCAGTCTGAATCTGAGTCTTCGAGAACTCACGCATCGCACGCAGAAAGTACACATATGTTTCATCGGCATTCGCAAAAATAAACGTCCAGAAAGAGGTGATGAGAGATAAGTAACACAGTTCAGCGCCACGATGCTTCAACGGCCCCGAAGACTACTGTTGCCTTCACACGCGCACACGATGCACGGACGACAGTGATGCATCACTGATGAATAGCACTACGGCCCATTTTCACGCACCTTGGCAGGAGAAGGAATACCACTGTAACGGAGAATGTCGCAGCGTGTATCCCCGTCGATATATCTCGGCCTCAATTCAGGTACACATGCACTTATCATTTCCTGTAGAGCGGTCAGATTGCGAGCGAACGATCAAGTGGTCAAACCATGACTCAACTTGATATCAGAGAAGCTCTCAGTAAGCCACCACACGTTGACAGCCCGTGGTTGACCGCACGCATCCGAGTATCAAGATCGCCGCGCAGGATTGAGTGTTGCTCGACGGAAGAGTTAGCGCTGCATCAAGCTCTCTGGCTACACCACTTAGGCATGCACGGAGAGAGAACTTGAGGAGCGCCACATGGTCGCTCGTGGTTCCGGAGAGCGCTGATGACACACTAGCAGTGTCCGATGTTCGTGTATGAGTTTCCGGGTGATTCGTGTCGTGGCGCCGACAGAACTGAGGGCACAAGTACTCATGGTAAAGCATGAACATTTGTGGAATATCTACGTGTGATCGTCGACGAATTCTGTGCCGCTTGATCCTAGATTCTGTGCATATTGACGGTGCTCAACAAGGACTGCATACTTGACATAAGCCACTGAATGTGTTGTACGCACCCGATGTTCGAGAGCGCGGACCTCGATGACAGCATCCATCGATGATACGTTTCGGATATTGGTGGAGTGTGCACCGTGCCCAATATCGTCACACTGATTCGTACATGACGTCTAGTCCCGCGAAGCATACGGTAGTCAGCGCGGTCTGTTCGGGGCAGAATCCGCTGCGATATCATACTTGCCCTGTCCTTACAAGCAATAGACCCTATCCGCGCCGAAGAAAAGGTGCAACAAATCGTCACCGGTAGCCATCTGCATATTTCACGGACCCGCTTGTGTCCCGATCACTGTGACAGTATGCCGCGTGGAACATACCTCGACCACCTGGGCATACTTGGACAGAGAAGTGGAATTGGAGCCGGTTCGTGTCAGTTCGCTCTTTCTGAGGACCCTGAGAGACATGACATCTTCCATAGAATCTGCTCCATGGGCCGGTGCCTGGCGGATACAGCCATGAAGCCAAATGTCTTCTACGACGCCACGGAAGACAGGAGCACCTATACAGCGTGTTCTCCGAGAATAACTGTGGACCGCTTTCGTCAGGCAAACTGCGCCGTAGTCCCGGACCAAGTCTGTGCATCATCATTAGGAGACTCACCGCTCGTTATGAGTCATGTCGCTGAGCTCTACGGCAATTCCCATATTGCCGACTAACGGCGTCAGGTGGCGCAACACAATCACTCAAAGTAAAATTCTTGATCTGTAAGATAGGGCTCACGCACAATCATCCAGCGTGATGACGTGTGACAGCGCGTTACGGTCATGGATAACCTCCGTCACCGGGGCCTATCCAGACGCCTGACTGCCGGATTGAGATGGCTGGCGGGCGCTGCAGTCGCGAGCGAGGTTCAAGTTACAGTCAATGTTATACAGCTATGAAGTACTAGACTACGTACAGACAGTAACATACAAGATTAGCTCCAGTAGATAAGTACCCTCGTAATGACAAGCAGTGATCACTGGTCCACTGCGTCTCGGGATCCATCTGTGGGCCACGAGTTAAGGTCAGAACAGTCTGACAGAAGAGAGATCGCGAGGACTCACATTCTCCTTGCCATGCTCTGCCTCTAGCACAACCTGCACCCTCTTCAAGCCACTCGTATGATTCCCTAGGTTTTTTAGGTTGCAGAGGCGACGCCTCGGCATGGTGGTCCAGGTCTCGGTGTGATGATGCACTTCTGGCTGTCTGTGGCCCAAATGCGTACATCGACGGGTACCAGCGCTCGACTTATTTGGATTATTTCACACACTACCCAAGTCCCACAATGGCGAAGCGATGTACTACTCACACGAGAAAGTTAATGGAAATGTCAGTCAGCTCCGTGTCCACTTCTCCTCCGCACAGTCTTGTCGGAATAGTGATTTACTACAGAACTGTGCGGACCACTTGTCGGACAAAGGAAACAAAACATTCGTATTAATTCTACGGTGCCCGTCACGCTGACATTACATAAGCCTGGATGGTTGTGTACGAGCCCTATCTTACATGTTGCGGCATACAATGCGACAGTAATTGAAGATGCAGGACTACCTGTCAGTGCAATCCAGTTATTATGGACGACCACCCTATGAAGAAGTTGTCGATTATCGGCGACAGTGCTCGAGGCGTATGACTGAGTGGTTGCGCACCTGTGTCGCCGACTTATTCGGTGACATACTACATAGGCCTTAGCCAAGCTGGGCGAATCGAACAGTCATCCTGAGTTCGAGTTCCCGAGCGTGACGCCACGCCGAGTCCGGCAATTTTGAGGACGACAAGACTGGTAGTCCGATTGCGACCTGTGTGCTTATTGGGCGCATAAAAAGGAGTAAAATATCCGGAGTTGCACTCATCTACTTGTGCAACTTACCGTAGTACCTGCGGGTATTGGCCGGCAGAAGGAAACATCAATACGATGCCAACGCGCGTGTTAACATGTGCCACGCTCACCTCTTCCTCTATCGGCTGCGTGACCATATATATACTCATCGGCGAGGAGATCAGTATTCGTATGCGTGGAATTGGACGACATACGGGTTGAGAGTCACACACGCCTGGATGACTACACGCTTCGAAGTTCGAAGGCACTGGTTGGGCACTGGACTGACTGGCCAGCTCATCGCGAGACGCGGTCACGTGGTGCGCGCGGTGAGGCGGCGCTTATGGCTTCAGTGTTCGACTTCTCCCAGTCCGAATCCACCTTTTACGACCTCGAACCAGCGACTCACCTCTCCTTCACGCATACATCTGTCGACGGGAAGTATTAGCCTCTGACCTCTGAATCCCCTACGCGTATAGAGGTAAGGTCTCCTGTATCGCCACTGCGACAGCCACATTCACGGTCACACAACTTAGCAGAGGACAACATATGCAAGGCAACGGTAGTGTACGCGAGACAGTGAGCTACATACTACAAAGATTACTGGCGGTGATTGATTAATTTGCTTGGTTAACAGTTGCCTCGCTACTTGAAGTCGTGGCGATCGCTCGGAACTAAGGAAGAATGCAAGTATGTTTGGGAGGCCGTCCGACCCACTTTCCATGACGCCGGCATTTACGTGTGGCCATTCGACGGGCTCTATGCCAGAGCAGACACTCGAAACCCAATGCGACCCAATGGTTTCGCCTACGTCAACTCAATGCGTGGAGAACATTGGACGAACCTTCTCCAGAAGTTTACTTGTCATGTACGTCTGTTGCGCGATCAGCTATATTTGCTAATTACCTGGCTACAGAACGAGCTTACGCGCGCCGGCTCGACCCTGAATGGGGTGCATGTTGTCATACGTGTAGTGGTAATGGGGGACGAAGGGAAGCGCCACCTCGAGATCCTGCGCAAACTCGCTCAGGGCCCACGGAGCATGTTCGCCGAGAATCACGTTGTCCCCTTGTGGCAAGAAGTCGAATTCGAGGACATCACTTTTACCGTCTCACCGTTCGTGGCCTATGATATGTGTGAGTGCTACGGATTCTGGGCGAAAAACTCTGTCGGCGACATAGTCGATATGATTTTGCAAGCGTTGGAGGTGAATCCGTAACTCTGATGCTCAGTTTTGTCTGACCTGCTCACATAACATCATAGGCAATCGCCTTTGTTCATGACCTCGGGATAGCGCACAGAGTATGGCGTTCACTTCATGTTCGTGTTCATTCTTCTGACAGCGACCTAGGACCTGTGCAAAGCGAACTACCTCATCCAATGGCATCCCGAGTCTCTAGTGGCAATGCGGGTGCCTCTGTCTCGCCCACGTGCACTCCTGACCGATTTTGAGACGGCCCACGAATTCCCTTCGGACCTTCCGCCTCAACAGCGCGTGCTGAGTGGGCTGCCATTAGTCGGCTATCAACGCCCAGTTCCTCCGGAGATGACTTGTGGGAAGCCGTACGACCCGTTCAAAGCAGATATATGGCAGTTGGCGGAGAGCTTTTCTGATTTCCGGGTGGGTCACTTGCAGTCAGTCTGAACACATTTCATTGACCATCACTTAGGCAACGATTCCTGAGATCGATACCATCCTTGAACAGATGCTCGAATTGGACGTCTCTCTGAGATTGTCTGCAGTAGATGCTCGTGACAAACTAGCTGCAATCGTTCATAGTATCCCCCCGAGCGCTCTTTTGATCCCCCCGCTGCTGTTGAAGCCTCCGATCCTTGAAACCTGAAGCTCGAAACGTATCATCATATAGACGGTCTCTTTTTCTAGGTCAAAATCACTTCTCGGCTTATTTATTGAATAGGGCAGGTGCAGTATGGAAGTGTGGGCGCAAGAAGCACCCTGATTTGCAGGTGCGTATAGCTCCGTTGGTAGGAACGGCACAAGGAAATGCGTGTTGGGTGATATGACAAGACATTGCAAAATCAGTACTTGCAGAACTAGGGACAGAATGCTCTGTGCCGAACAGATGTGTTCCGCGAACTCGGTTCATTCGAGGATCATGTCTCTTGATTGCGCCCCCCTGACCACACGATACTGACGTTCGCAGGATGACAATACAACGACATGTACTTCCGCCGTCTCTATTGCGTACTACTCTCGCCGAGCTGTACCCAGCCAAGTCAAGCTCAAGCCCCAAGCATTGTGCAGACACCTGTGCCCCGCTCGCGATTCCGTACGGTGTGATTAATCAGGTGCGTATGAGAATGACATCGGGCGGACACTCCCCGCCCCGTTGACAGTTCATCACTATGTCCATATCGCGGTCGATGGTCATCCGCAGGAATATCCCATGACTCGGAGTATATAACTCTAAAAGCAGAATCCTCGAACTCGCCATCGAATCACAAGACTCCAAACATAATATTCAAGTTCTCCTCGACGCCATGTCCGAACACCGAGCACTCTTTCTTCCCGAGAAACAAGCTCCCTTCGTCGTTAGGTCTGTACCTACGTACAAGCCCGGCCCCGGAGAGCTCTTGATCAAGGTCGAGGCCGCGGCACTGGCACCGGTTGACTGGGCGATCCAATCTATGGGGATCCTCGTCGAGAAGTATCCAGTGATCCTCGGCTTCGATGCTGCAGGTACCGTCGAGGAAGTCGGCGAGGGCGTCACGAAGTTTAAGAAGGGCGATAGAGTGTACGGCGCGATTTCCCTTACGCCACATGTAGACTAACAATTCCGTGGATCAACCCGCAGGTTCCAGCAATGCGAGTTCGGAGATGGCCGCTGTGCTGGCTTCCAGCAGTATGCCCTCACGTCCGAGGACACGACTGCAAAGGTACCGGACAGTGCATCGTCTACAAGGCGTGCCCAACTGACCTGTTCTTAGATCCCCCATTTTATCACCTTTGACCAAGCCGCCACGATCCCTCTCGCTCTGGCGACCTCCGCCATGGCGCTATACCACGATGGAGTGAACGTATTCGGCGGTACGTGTAGCCTGACGCCTCCTTGGGAAGAAGGCGGCCACGGCAAGTACCAAGGGCAGCCCACGATTGTCTTCAGCGGCGCCAGCACCGTCGGCCAAATGAGTAAGACATTCTCCGGGCCGTGCATATCGCAAGCACAGCTGATCGCCGCGTAGCCATCCAGCTACTCAAACTGTCCGGCTTTAGCCCTATTATCACCACAGCCTCCCTGAGCAACGCCTCGTTCCTCAAGTCCCTCGGCGCCACACACGTCCTCGACCGCAAGCTACCCGCCGACGCGCTCCGCGCAGAGATCCGGAAGATCACCCCAGAGCCGTTCAAGACCATCTACGATGCCGTCGGCTCGGAAGAGACACAGAATCTCGGCTACGACCTCCTCGCGCGCGGCGGGGTCCTCGCGGCGGTGGGGCACAACCTGGTAGCGCCGGAGAAGAAGGTGCCCGAGAAGACGAACTTCTCTGTGTGGGGCGACGTGCATATCCCGCAGAACCGCAAGCTCGGCGCGAGCCTGTACTCGAAGCTGACGGAGCTGCTCGCGGAGGGCGCGCTGAAGGTATGTGCTCGGCCGTTTGGTCGGCCGTTGCTGGTGTCTCAGTATTCGGCGGTGGGCTGACGAAGTTGCATGTAGCCAGTCCCGGTTGAGGTCGTCCCCGGCGGCTTGGAGGGAATACCTGCAGGGGTGGAAAAGGTCGGAAAGGGAGTCAGCTGCGTGAAGCTAGTAGCGCATCCACAGGAGGCCGTGTGAGGAGCTGTGTAGCACCAACAGATACTGTAATCGGGAGAGGACATGTCGCGTCGAAGTCCTATCAACGAGCCCAACATGAATCAGCAATTATGTGCACGATATCCCTGTGGCGCCTCTGTCTGTATGGAGTACCAGCCAATGTCTAGTGTCGGTAAATCGGCTCATACGTTGATCCAAACGAGCAAATGTAAGTACTGGGAGCTGAGCCGGTGATTCGCACATACAACGGCCTGACACTTTCGAGGATGTGGTTAAAAGTCTGGCAGTGGATTCAACAATAATGGCGGGATCAGAAGACTTGTCGGCGGAATGCTGTGTACAACCTCTGCCAATTTGTCACGAGCCTCTGACGCGGACAGCCTCAGTGACGTATCCGGTTCGAACATTTGTGCCAGAACCGCATCAATATCAAGGACGGTGGTCTGACCAGCGTCGGTCAACGAGGAATGCGAGGAACATAAGCCCCGTGCGACGCACCTTGAAGTCGGAGAAACTCTCCGCCAGCTGCCATACATCGGCTTTGAATGGGTCGTACGGTGAACCGGACGCCATCTCAGGAGGGACGGGACGTTGATAACGCTCGACAGGGGGGCCGGTCAGCCAGCGCTGCTTCACAGGTAGCTCCGGAGGGAACTCGTGTGCTGTCTCAAAATCGGTCAAGAACGCGCGCGGACGGGATAGAGGTACCCGCATAGTCGATAGGGATTCGGGATGCCACTGGACCACATAATTTGCCTTGCATAGATCCTTCGATTCTGTCAGGAGGTGCAGAAGCTTAGAAAGTGGGTATCGTACCCTGTGCACTATTCCAAGGCTGTGTACGAAGGCAATTGCCTACCGAATGGTCTTAGCGCACGCATACAGAATTGAGAACACGCGAGACACTCACTTCGAGTGCCTGGATGATCATATCAACTATATCTCCGACGGAGTTGTTCGCCCAACGCCCATAACATTGATCCATGCTGTAACCAACGTATGGCGAGATTACGAAGATAATGTCGTGCAACTGCACCTCTTTCCAGAGAGGCACAACATGATTATTCGTCATCAAACTGATCGTGCCGCGGGCCAACTTGCGCAGAATTTCTACATGCTTTTTACCCTCGTTTCCTATGGCCGCAACGCGAATCACCACATTCAGCCCACCTGTAGTCGATCCTCCCCAGGTCAGCTCATTCTGTCGTACATTGCATACTGAGTGAATATATGAAACTTTCTACACCGAGACTCACATGGCAATTGAACATTGTGAGGTTTTGAGACCATGCTTCGCCACGGACTGATGTTACGTAGGCAAAGCCATTCGATACATCGTTCTGTTCCGAATTAGCTCTTGAGCTGGCTCCGTCGTATGTCCACAGACAGATGCCAGCGTCATGAAGAGTGGGCCGGACGGCCTCCCAGACGAGGACAGTCTCCGCTCCGTCGAGCAAGCGCCACGTATCCAAGTCGCGTGGAAACTTCTTGTTGACCTCAGAAAGATCAGAATTGAAAGACGTCCCACGAGAAATAACACGTTACGCACGCATTGTACAGAGCCTCTGCCACGGATCCAGGCCCGGAAGAGCCGTACAGTCACAGCTACTGTGGCGACACCAGCAAGTGCCGCAACAGCGGTAGTTGTAAACTTGTTAGCAGATTGAGCTGTATGCATGTATGCAGTGATCTACTGCAAGTATGTTCCACCAGAATGCAAGACGAACCCAAGAGGATTCTGAGGAATGATAGCTGCGGTCGCGCGACGCGCTCGAATGCCGCGTCCACTACAAACATTGGTTGGGTTTGGTGCATCATGTGATCGTGTCTAATCTATTCGTCCCCCTCGATCGAGCGACGAGCGTATGTACATGCCGACTCAGTGACAGCACCGTACCGCTCGGGGAAACACAACTGCGAAGGTACGAAACAGTATTGCCTCAGCAAGTCATATCATCTTCTTAGTTACCCGATAACAATACTTACCTGTGACCAGACTGCCGCGATCAGGCTTCCGTCCACCAAGTTGGCACTGTCAGTCCTCTGGCTAAGGGCTTATTTGCCTTTGATCACAACACTGCGAGGTGGCCCCTCAATCTTGAGGACTAATTGTCGATTCAAGTCGGTTTATCATTTGTGATTTACACTGATCCGATGTCATGAGGGCAGGTCAGGGCCCGGGACGAATTCGCAAAGCTGACTCGGAGTTGTGGTCAGTCGCGCCCGGCACCAGTGGTGTACCGGGGTCTGCGGCGAAAATCCGCGCCTGTGAGTAGGACAACTTGAAGAGGTGTGGATTCAGTAGTAAGTACAGGTGTAAGACATTGGTAACCGGTGATACAGTTGTTACATAGGAAACACCGTATCAACCATATGCTATAAGCAAGATGTTGCTGCTCATGACCCTGCTTCCAGAGGCTTTCCCTACGCCGGCGGCCTCGCGCTCACAATTTTGCTTGAAATTGCGGTTCAGATATCGCATAGAGCATGAAGAACTAGCAGCGACTCACTTTACCATGCGGCACTGGGTACTGCGGAAAGCCATTCGATCGCTGTTACCGAATTCCAGTAGGAGCCTGGGCTGTGTATTCTGTGAGCTCTAATTCGACCCCGTCATGATGGTGAGTACTACGTACACCTGTGACACTTTCAATAGGCGCGACGAGCCTTCCAACAGCTGTGGTTCCCATAACTTCATAGTTGCCCTGCCAGTGACATACGCGCGATCAGCACTTCGAAAACAATTTGACGGGGTAATGAAAACCCTACACGGATCCTGATGTTAGGTATAGCACTGATACCTGGTGTTGACATTGTGTGGCGTGCAGTAGTTTCGGATATCTGTTGACCTGGAGTTAAGACTGAACTGAGGGCTGACAAGAACAGGGGAAACACGTACGGATGATTGGATGAAGTTTCTATTATCGCGCTGCACGATAGCAGAAGACAATTGGGAGAGGGGGAGGCTGGCGGGGTCAGTGCAGCAAATGAACCTCTTATATATGTCTATAGGTACCAGATGGATCATACCTCCTCCTCGACGCACCATGGACGCCACACAGAAGGTCTAT